AAGGCGGAGAGATTTGGCAAGGGGGAGTCAGATAGAAATGGGCGCGGCGGCGCGGGGGGCAGGCGGAGAGAAGAGGCAAGGGGAGACCCGTGCACCGACCCCAGGAGGAGGGTGACGTGTACCCCTCTCGTGCATGTAAGGGTGGCACCTTGCGCATCTCCCCGAGGGGGCGGGGGGAGGGAAGATCCCCGAGGTGTGAACCCATCGAGGCCAATGTACCACCTCGTCGCCAATGGCCGGAGAAGATGCCGTCCATGGGGGCACTTTCTTGCCCTGTCTGGGGCTCGTCGCGAGGTGGGGCGGCCCACGGCGTCGTGCCAGCTCGCGCGGAATGCCCTTTTTTTCGTGTGAGCTGGGTTGGACAAGCCTCCGGCAGAAGGGGGGGGGGGGGGAGGGGCATCACGAGCTACGGAATCGCTCCCCTCCCTTCTGGCATCTGGACATGGTAGGAGTCGAGATGCCGGCATTGGACTTCCCGAGATTCCGAGCCCCTGTTCAGGCGGTGCTTCTTCCTTTGACATGCCGTGGGACAAAGGGTTTGTCCGTTCGTGAGCCCCGGCCAGAATGCATCCGCCGGCGGTGGCCCGGGCGGGGAAGGAGAGAGGGTGGATCCGTTGTCGCCTCCGGCCGGGGCTCCCGTGCGTCACCCTGGCCGGCTGTTGGGCGCCCGGCCCTTTGGGAGGCCGGTATTAGCCACAGTGTCATCAATATGAAGGTGCCTGTCGATCGCTAGGACTCAAGAGTGGGAGATTAGTCTAGTGGTATGATTCTCGCTTCGGGTGCGAGAGGTCCCGAGTTCGATTCCCGGATCTCCCCATTGCTTTTGGTCGAGCGGGGGTGTCCCTCATGTTCTTTTGTTGTTGGTTCCTCTCCTCGCACCTCCCTCCCTTCTACCCCTTCACATCTCGCATCCGAGGTGATAAGTGGAGAGGAGAGGGTCGGAGGGGGGCGAAGAGGGGGGGGCGGATAGAGGAGGGAGCACAGCCATTTTCCGGCTTCCAGGGGGCGCAGGCGTGCACTCGGAGGCCTTCCAGCCCTGGAAGGAGCCCCAACAACATCCGAGGGTAGGATACAATCGGAACACCAAGCAGTGGCAGTGGCGCGACCGAAGCAAGTCACAGCCCCAGTTTGTGGAGGGGGGATGGGCGGAGGGCCCGTGAAAAAAAAAAAATCCAAGGCCCGGAGCTTCTCGGGAGTCAACCACGGAGCCCGCGAGGCCGAGCCGACTCGCGGCAATCCAGGGGAAATCGGCGATGCCTCCTCTTGTCCCTGCGTGCGTGCCATGACCGGAAAGGCGTGGTCTGCGGGGAAAAAAAGCTCCCCCAACAACACCACCCACCACCCCTGGCAGGAGGCCGCCAGCCGAGCCTCCTACCCGGCGGACATGCTGCGTGATTTCACTCAAGTGGCCCTTTTCTCAGGCGGGGGGCTTGTTCCACCTGAAGGCCGGGGTCTTGTGGGGGACACAACAGTGCCCGGCCGGGGGCGACATTTTCCGGGGGCATCGACCAGGCTTTTTTTGCGAAAAGAATTTATTCACCTTTGAGCACCCCTCTCCCATCGGTGGGAGATTAGTCTAGTGGTATGATTCTCGCTTCGGGTGCGAGAGGTCCCGAGTTCGATTCCCGGATCTCCCCCATACGTTTTTTGGGCGGGGCGGGCTGTTGCTCTCTGCCTCCTGGCGGCGGAGAAAAAAAACATGTCCACGGTCGAGCCATGCTCGGCACCTCGAGACCGTCGGGGGGCGGCCCCATGGTTGAGAGGGGGGGTGGGGGCCCGTGCGGGCGAAAAAATAAAAAACACCCAGGCCCCCAGGTGTTCCGGGAGGGTGGAGGGCATTCCATGTTTTGATTATTATATCCGGCCTCCTCCCTCCGCCGGATGGTCACCCGGCGAATGCCAGTCTCAAGGGGCTCCGCGTGTCAGACTCATTCCCGCGCCTGGGCGATTGCTAGGTGATTTGGACCTGCCCAGCCGACGATGTCTATGTGTGTGTGTGTGTGGGGCCAGAGGGCGTATCCTGCCCACACGCGCGCGCGCGCGCCACAGCGGTCTTTTCACATTTCGCCTGGTCTCTTTTCCGGAGGCCGTTCCATCCGGGGAGACACCATTGCATCGTCCACCAGGAAATTTGCCTGGGAATTTGTGACATATTCAAGGGGCCCGAGTGCTGCGACCCCTGGGCTCGGCCGGGGGCGGCAACCCGACATACGCACGCATGAGCACGGCCACGGTTTCCGCGAGCCGCCCGGATGGCGCTTTATTTCCGGGCGATATATCCACACCAGGCCGATGACTCACGGGAACCATCCTGAGACACATCTCCTCCCCCCCCCCCCCCCCCCAGCCTCCTCCTCCCTCCCCTTCCCGGAATCACCTTCTTTCCCTTCGGTCCCCGGGATGTCGCAGTGTTCCCGGGGCAGCGGCCCGCCCCGCTCGCTGGCCATGAGGCCTTTCCTGCTGACCTCGCTGCTGCTGTTGTTGCTGCCGGTCCTTCGGGCCGCTGTCGGGTTTGCCACCTCGGGGTCGCTTGCCGAGTCGGCGCCGCTGGCGGTGCCCACCTTCCACACGGCAGCACGCCTCGCTGACTCGAACGTGGGTTCCCCGGACCCGAGGGCCAACATCGAGTTCTGCGACTTCTTCAATGCCTACTCGCTCAACCCCTACGCCAAGGACGGCTTCGATGACCTGACATACGGGTCGAGCTTCTACAACCTGGCCACCTCACCGCTGATCCGAGCCGGGTTGCCGTGCTCCAGGCCGCGAACCTTTGTGCTGGGTTCCCCTCTTGAGCCCCACCGGTGCTTTTCGTACCCCTTTGCCCGGAGGCCGCTCGCTCCCTTTTCTCTGCTCGCAGACATTTTGACCCCGGAGCAACCCGACATAGATGGCATCCATGCGACCGGCACAATCGCCCTCCTTACATCGGAGGACCTGCTCCTTCAAAGTCGCTTCTTTGGCGAGAACACCTCGGTGGTCGTGGGCTCCACCGCCACCGGCGCAAGTTTCATCCTCCAGTGCACCTCTCCCGAAGGACGATTGCTTTTTTCCTACCTCGGCTCTCTCAATGGCGACACTTTCCCCCTGATGTCGGGCATGAAAGGGTTTGAATTCCTCCAGGCGACGGACCTCGATGGTGATGGCCTGGTCGATGCGGTGACCGTCGCCTCATCTCCGGAGGCTGTCCTCGCGACCGGACGTGGGGTCTATTGGATAAGCCGCCTCGGTGAGGCGGCCCTGACCCCGGCCAGCCCGGCCGATGTGAGCCTCCTCCTGCCATTGCCGGTCGACATGGAGGTGGGCCAGCTCTTGGTGGGGGACTTCGATGGGGATGGGCTTGCGTCCGATTTGGCGGTGGTCTCCGGCCCCCGGTCCACCGGGCCGGCCCGCATCATCCTCCTTATGACCTCGGACCTGTCGGCCCCGGTGACCATTTCGCTGTCGGAAATGGCCGCCCATGACCCAGCCCTGGCGGGGGAGCCCCCAAGCCAGCACTATCCCAAGGCCGCGGCCGCGCGGCTGACCACCCCGGCGGCCGATGATCTGGTGGTGGCCTTCGGCTCGCGAGTGTGGCTCATCCCCGGTCCCCTGCGCCCCGGGAGCACCTCGACAGCGCGTCAGCTCCGCGCCCTCGGGGCGATTCCGCTGTTGCCCGATCACCCCTCCTCTTCGGGGGTCTGGCGTTCGGTGGCCTTCGGGGATTTCGACGCCGATGGGCGCCTGGATATGGCCCTGGCACACTCGACCACTGGCGGGGACATTCTTCTGCTCAGCCAGGTGGATGCCACTCCGACGTGCTTGTGTGGCCCTGGGAGCATTTGCCTGCCCGGCGCTGAGGGGTTCTACTCAGTGCCCACTTGCGGCTGTGAGGACCCGAACGCCG